AAAACATTTTCATAAAAAAGTTAAGCATTTTTTATTTCCTCAAATTTGTCAAAATCAACAATAACTATTAACTATGTTATCACATAAATAGCAAATAATTACTTCATTAACTATTGAAATGATCTCGAATCTCAAAATTTCATTAAATGAATGTCTTATTTGGTTTATTTTAAGAATTGTGATTTTTTTCTATACGCGAAATAATTCTATTGATTAAGTTTTTATCATATAAAAATAATTTATATTTTATCAAATAATAAGTATGTATGGTAATACTTTTTGCTTTATAACTATTAAAAAATATTTGTTTAAGGTAGTTTTGTCCAATAAATGAATTTTTTAAATTACTCAACCTTATTTAATTTGATTGTTATTAAAAAATGATAAACTTTCGACTCATAATCAACTCAAGGGAAATATTGTTGGGATAAGAACATAACAAGATTGATTTCTGTATAAGTTAAAATTGTTGACGTATAAATTAGTTATAATTTATAGTTTTATTTTTTCTTTATCTAAATATTATTTTAGAATAAACTCAAAAATTAATTAAATTAAAAATTAGATTAAACTAAACCTAAACAAGATCATTTAGACCTCTAATTTTCTCTGGAAAGTACTACTTAAAGTCAAGTTTGGAATAAATGATTATTTCACTTTTCTTTTCTTTTGTCCCATAATATAAAATGGAAGAAATCCTACCTCTACACTTCTTAGTCAATGTTTGGCTGCACCATTCAAACCATGGACGATATCTTCATCTTATTTTTCTTTAATGAATGGGTGTTCTTACAAAATCATGTTAAGAAATTGTTAAATTCGAGTTTCTTTTTGTTATAGTCATTCATTATATTTTCCCCTTTCTTTTACCACCCTTGAATTTTTCTATAGATATATAATAAGTAGTGTTTGATTCAAATTTTTATCTTTAAAAATGATAAGTTTGATAATAATAAAAAAGTTGTAATTTGGAAAACCCTTTCTAAAAAGGTAAGCATTTTTTCCCCTCAAATTTGTCAAAATAAAAAATAACTACCTACTAGATTATCACATAAATCACAAGTAATTACTTCACTAATTATTAAAGTTATCCCGACTCTTAAAAAATCCATTAAATGAATGTCATATTCGGTTTATTTTAACGTGCTTTTGTTTCTTTTCTTCTTTTTTTTCAACTGCCCGTGTATGCAAACTTGAAATTATCTGCGTAAAGTTGGCCCATTCATCTCACTTTATATTTAATAATAACAAAATTCGTTAATTAATAATATTACAAAAACTTTTAATCAATGTTCATTTAAACTTATATTTTCTATTAATTTTAAAATGAATTTAACTAAATAAATTTTGTTTTTTATTTATTTTAACTATAGAGACAAAAGAATAATATTATATTTTAATCTATTAATTCATTTTTTAATCTATGACATCATCAAATTACTCACAAACATTTATAAACTTTTCTTCAATTTTTTTCATTTTTTCTTAAAACAAATAATTAGAGAACCCTTTCTTCATTTTTACAAATTCATCTTCTCACTTTCTTTCAAATCATCTCTCAATCCAAAATTTTACTTAATATATAACTATTTTTTTTCATAAAAATCCTTTACTATTATTATTTAAATATATCTACACATCAATCCATTAACAACATTAACAACAGCAAAAAAGTTACTTCACATCATGACTTTTTATTTTATTTTAATCTAATCTTAAAGATAAATCACTTGCTATGACTATTAATTTTTAAAAAAATGAAATACAAGAATAAAGTTATTCCAATAAAATTTGAAATAATTATTCTTCATTATGATTATTTTAATCCAAAATTTCCAATAAGTAGAAAAATGATTAATTTGTGATAGCTAGATTAACAAAAAAAAATGAAAATAAAGAGTATTTATATCAGAATTACTTTTAGATCTAACTATTTGAAGATATTTATATTTCCATGATATATTTTTCCTTAATTTAATGATTCTAACGAATAAAATATATCATTCACTGTTAGATCAGAAGAAATAAAGAATGAAAATGAAGAACAAGAATTCGAAAGTCATCCTTGTAATAATTTTATCTAATGGTTCTCTTTTATATCACGGGGCGGCGGTTAGCTTGAATGGGTCAACGTCTGGGCCCAATAATCTATCAATCAAGTTTTGGGCTTTAATAGAATCTTCCTCTGTCCTACATCATGGGCTTTAATAGAATTTTTTATATATTTATTTGATATTATTTTTTATTCTTTTTTTTTAAATACAAAATTGTATTTCTTTATAATTATTTTACTCTTATACTAATAAATGTAAAAAGGTGTTACCGTGTTATTATATATTAGATCAAGTCAACTTCTTTCGTGCAAAGGACATTAATCTCTAACTTTCAATCAAGCAATACCCATGTTAAAAGAAAAGTTAAAGTCAACTAATACTTCTGTTTATATCAGTACAATGTTTAACAAAAAATCATCTAAGGATTTTTTTTTCTCCTTCATATAACTAAGTGATTAATTTTATAACTCCAAAACCTCTGGCATCAGACACTTTCATCAGATGCATGTAAAAAAAAATAGAAAGTATGATGAAATTAGATCAAGGAAAAGAAGATAACAAAGGAACAGGAATACATGGAGAATTCTTCCAAACTGAGGAATGCAATCTGAGTATCTCCTTGGCTCTCTCTTTGGTCTTGAAATTGCAATTCACTTGAAGCACCAAACACAACTTTGACACAGCCCCAACCTGCAACATTTCATGGAGCACCCTAGCATTGGCGGAATACCTACAAATGGAGGCCAAAATTCTAACCCCTCTATCGCTTGCCACGAGAGAGACCCTTAGAATTTTCTTGGACACAATGGCCACTCCTGCACCATGGTTCAACAACTCTGCACGCCCTTCTGCACACCCACAAAGTTGATCCAAAGCTATTAAAATCAGTTCACAGGTTCTTCTTTCCGAGGTACAAAGAAGTAGCTCAATCAGGACCGAAACTGCACCACCCTCAACCCCTTTGATCCTGTTTCTGCCCCACGGAAAGAGCTCCACGATCAGCTTCAATGCAGCCTTTGAAGCCTGTTGCGAAATCTGATCACGCAGCACGCGCAAGATTTCCACAAACAGCACTGTTTTGACACTGATCAGTTGGATGGGATCAGCCACCTCCAATGCTGATCTAAGCAGCATGGTTGCATAAGCTCTCGATTGGTAGTTTCCAAGCCTCAACGCGTGGAACAATGATTCAATAAACTGAAACCCCTCGTTATATAAGAGAGCTTTAAGCTGAGCCTCAGAAGGGCTAAGGTGGAATAAGACTTCGATAGCTGCTTCACAGAGAACAGTTGAGTTTTCTTCTGTCTTGTGCTTCATGGTTGAGGCCAAGAATTCAACAACTCCTGCAGACTCTAAACAGGCCTTGTTCCTTTGACCCTCAAAGGCAATGGATCGAAGTCTTGTGAGGCATTTGAGTTGCTTCTCGGGGAACTTCTTTGCTTCTACGAGGAGTTTCACAATCTGAGTTCTGTCGATTGGTGACTTTGGAGTTGGAATGCGTTCAACTCCAAATGAGGCATTGAGGGTGCACCAAGATTGGATCAACCTGCGTAGAGTGTGGTTTGGGGTGAGATCATGATCCAATGGGCACTGCTTGGTAACGGGGCATGTGTTGTTCTTGCATGAAAACAACCACTTCTCTATGTTCTCTCTGTCATAAGTGATTCCTGTGCAAACAGTTACAGGGTCCCTCATGAGTTGGAGGGAAATGGGGCAAAGAAAATGAGCAGGAATTTCAATTTCATCCATGCTAAAAGGTTGGAAACGGAATCTGCTAAACTAAGAACAATAGAAAAGTTGGGTTTTTGATGTTTTGGTTGTCAGAAGAAGGATGAGACAGTATTAGCTAGAAATTTGTGAAATGGTGAGGGATAGATGAATGGGGATAAGAAGTCAAATTTGTGAAATGGTGAGAAGAGTAGTAGCTGCTTCTGGTTGTGGCACATTTAGTTGTGTCATGAAAATTGTGGTAGAGGAAGATGCGAATTTTAATAGATGTTGTTGTAAACGATAAAGTCAACACACGGAAATTGAGAGTGAATTAATAAAGGGTGTTTTCCAATGTTTGGGAAGGAGAAAAGGTGTTATAATATTGGTAGAGACTTCTATTAGCTTCGATATGTGGGTGATATATAAATGATGAATTGTAGTATTGGATAGTAATTGTAAGGTGTTGAGGGAGTTAACGTCGGTGTTGCAAATTGCGATGCTAAGGAAATAAAGCCTGATATGGAGGCTTTTGACTTCCACTTATGCAATAAAATAGCATTATTATTTAGGTAGATTAGTTCACATCTCTGAGGATACCTTAATCTTTGCATGGTTGTTGCCGACAACTTCTGATGAGGCTCATGCATTTTGCCATGATTGGATGCTTTCTCACGCTTTTCTCGGTTCCCTCCATTAATGCTTTTCTTCATTGTTTCCTAATAAACTTGTTGGGAGCTGGGATTCTGGGAATTGCTTTACCTAAGGGCTATTATTGTTTCTTTTCTTACTTCATCCATCCCCTATAAATTTCTTAAATTCATTGTACAATTAGTTTGATGTATAGTAATAAGTGTGAGAATCAAAACAATATTATTAGAAATGTAAAGAGATTGTGGGACTATCTTTTTTTTTTCATTTTTTGTAACCATTGCCTGAAGCTAAAGGATGTTAGTTATTAGTTCACATCTTGCTTTCAACTATCACTATTTGGAGGATCTTGTAGCTAGAGAAATCCTCATAATTGGGTAAGAATATAAAAAATACGGGGTTTTAAAATATAATTGATTATACAAATTCGCATTATCAATATGATATTGTCTAAAAAATTGCTGTTTGCAAATGGCAAGACAGTTATTGTTCATACTCATTAATTAAGGCAGTATCTGAGAGAGGCTATAGCAATTTGTTCAAACTTATGAGATTGTTTGACTCTGATAGTTTTTTTTGTTTAATTTTTTTTAATAATTTTCTTTGTGCAACATATTAGTTTAAATTATTTTAACTTATTCAATAATTTCTTATTGAGAATATTTACTTGATATAATTTAGTTAAATCAATTTTTAGTAAATCTTTCCTTTTTTGGAAAATATCTTTTATAGAAAGAAAAAATATATGTTATTTTTTTAGTTTAATATTTAGAAAATAAAATTGAGATATATAATAAATATGGATATTTTGTTTTTATTCTACTCTATATACATAACTAACTAAATAAATTCTCCATACAACGTATTATACTTCTCTCTTATATTGTCTACAATTCATTAAAAAACTATTAGTAACGTAGTAGGATGTCGTTTATGAGTGGCTTGTGATAAAATACAACACAACAACAATAACAGAACCGTAGTAACGATAAGGTTTCATATGCTTTCACGAAGAATATACCAAAGTAATAAACTTACCTTAAGATGATAGAAATGAGAAATAAAAAAAATAGTTAATAAATCATTATCTTCAGATTATATATATCTAATTTGTCTCTCAGGTAAAAAAATATATATATATATATATCACATTCATCATTTTCGTAAGCAATTTATCAAATTATAAAAATCTTATGTAGTAAAAGTTTATTAAATATCAGTTAACTGATCTGTTGATCACACCAGCGTATAAAGAAAAATAATAGTTTTGTTGTCACTAGTTTTCAACATGGTGTTCCTAATGGGTGCTATTTGCAGGTCCCCACTGCCTAGTCGATCAGTCTTATTAAATCGATGGCAATGAATGGCTCAAAATCAGTCAAAGACCAGCATAAGAAGACGAAAATAGTTACACAAAATGTGTTTTTTTTTTAAGATACAACATGTACAACTAAGATTTTGAATTTGGACAATTATTTTCGTAACCTCAAGAGATACGATAATCACCGAACATTACCCAGACAACGGCTATTTCGGGCAACATGAATACTTAAACACTGTAAATAAAAGCATGAGAAACACCACATTATCATTTTCTAGATACCAAAACTCCTTATAGGGTTCCAAACATTTAAGTTTGTTTGTTTCTCGATAGAACTTGCATGAACTTTTGTCTTACTTATTTCCGACCAGAAAAACTTTTTCCATCATCTTTTCGAAAAAGGTGAGGATTAAAGAAACATAAGCATTGCTCGTTGTTATTTATTTTATTTTTCGTAATTATGTTTATGACATTATACAAGTCAAAATTGAAGATCTGATCTAGAAATCCATTGTGCTGCTAAATTATGATTATCCTCTTTCACATGGCATTGGAAACTTCGCGCCAGCGTTGAACTAAACCATTTCAAAGATGGTTACCAGTTTCACACAGCTACGAATATACATTTACGATCAAAATAAGAAACAATCAATGAACAAACTGTTAAATATTGTGTTGTCATTTATTTCTACATTAAATAACGAACTGAACTATGATAACATTTATCATAATCATTTTAAAGATTAACATAAATGATTCCGCAAATATAAAAATGAGTTAATGAAATTAATCCGAAATATTAAATGTGTGTAATTTGGGTGACGCAAGGTGAAGACCATGAATAGAGACATTTTTCTTCTTTGTGTTTTATTTTGATAGGTAAGATGAACTGTGGAAATGAAACAAATTGAAGCAAATTGAGAAGAGGGATGGTCAAATGAGAGCAGCTATTTAAGCTAAAGTGTATGAGGCAACAAGACTTATATCTTCCCAGTGCTGCTGAATTTGCTGTGGAGCTGTGTGCCTCGTGATCGTAATCACCACAAATTTCATTCTTTTATTATTTTATTTCAAGCTAATAAATTAATACACGCATTAACACTATCAGAACTCGGAACCTGAACCTGCCTGTAACACCCGTTGAATTTCTTTAATTTTATTACTTTAACTCTAACTAAACTTATAAACAATCATTTTTCTTTAAATAAATTTTGGATGACTTTTGGTATCCTTTCAAAAAAAAATTTAAAACTTAATTCAACGTTTGATTCTAATCAATTTTTATTTTATTTATTTTTGTACCATCGTAAAAGAGACCAACACCTAAAGGGTGGCCAAATCCTCCTTTTATGAAAGTTTTTTTCAACCAGTTGAATGCCATGCAGCCTAAACTAAAAACCTATATTTGTGACAACTGAATTTTTAAACAAGTTATAATTTCTTTCATATATATCTCTACAAGATTGATTCCTTCATAACCTCTATATATAGCATAAAGATTATAAATAATATAGTAAATATATATATATATAAGTATATATAATATTATATATATATATAGTTTGCAACGATAAGTAAGCTGTTTTTTAGTTAGCATATTAACAAAGTGTCAGATTTTTAGTAACAAAAATACTCTCTATATTTGGATTATAAGTTTTTATAAGGTCAAGAGTATTTAAATAATTTTCATTCTTAAAACTAAAAAAAAAACAAGAAACCTCCAAATATTTGGTGTCATCTCTCATTCCTCTCAACTTTTTCTCTTTCATCTCTCTCACTCTAACATTATTTATGTCATCCCTACAATAGCTCCAACTAGAAAAATCAAAAACACTCAGTTAACCTTAATCCACATTCCTCACTTATCCAATTTGTTTACCTCTCATGTCCATCATCTCTCACCCACAGATAGTAACATGTTTGTTCGTTCATTTGTTTTCCACTTTAATAACAAAATAATTGATGATGTTGATGTTGATTTTTGATTGGAGGGTTGCGTTATATCTTTTTCCTTCTGATTGTTATTAAATTTCGTTTTAAATTTTAGAATTAGTAGTTTATCTCTAGGAAGATTTAATATTTTGACTATTAAGTTGTCTAGAAATATTTTCTAGAAGAGAAAAATCGTCATGTGAAAAGGGGATTCCCAGAAAGAGTAAGTCATTGTCCAAAAAATGGATTTCTGAAGTTAGCTCTTAAAAATAATCCTAAAAACATATTTTCCACTTAAAACAATATTTTGTACTTTTCACCTTCCTACATATAACCAACGCCAAAACACAACAAAAAATGAAGCTCTTGCACATCGTACTAAATGATTTACCAAGAACAAATTATTGAAGAAAGTTATGAACAGAGAAAATTATTGTTGTTGACTTTGTCCCCTTATTCAGAAAAGAGACATTGCTCATATTAATAAGCATATTTTCATTTCATTTTTGTAAAAAGAATAAAAATATTCTAACAAATTACACATCTTCTAATAGATTCGAGCATATTGCAGAATATTGAATAGTTTTCAAGAAGAACTGCATTGATATACCAATTAATTAAAAATCAACCAGAAATTAGTAAACTAATCATAATGAACCTGTTAGCTCTCACATCATGTAAGTTTATTTTAAAAAATTTACATCTCCAACTTGTTTGGTGAATATAAACATGATGTTGTCATTCTGATTTATCATTTACCGCAAAAGTGAAATTAAGAAACAAAAAAATGCACTAAATTTCAATTGGAATTTAAACTTAATAAATTTGTTATCATCACACTCATAGTTTAACTTCTATTCCTTTCATTTCTATGATTATATCAAAATTATAAAAATGATGTTGTCATTCTGATTTATCACTTGCCGTATAAGTAAAATTAAGAAAAACAAAACATCTTGAATTTCAAATTTGAATTTAAACTAATAAATTTGTTATCATTATGCTCATAGTTTAACTTCTACTCCTTTCATTTCTATTATTTTATCAAAATTTGTATTAAGAAACTAAATGCTTTGCAACTATTATTAGTTTTGAAATTATTGAAATTATTATAGACTTTACTTTTTTACAAATTTAATAACAATCAGAAGGGAAAAGATATAACACAGCCCTCTAATAAAAAATCAACATCATCAATTATTTTGTTATTAAAGTAGAAAACAAATGAACAAACAAAGCAAGAGCAACAAATTGCAGTTTCACAAGTTGCTGTGTGTGGATGTGAGAGATGATGGAGATGAGAGATAAACAAATTGGATAAATGAGGAATGTGGATTAGAGTTAGGTGAGTGTTTTTGATTTTTTAAATTATAGAGATGATAGAGAGAATGTTGGAGTGAGAGAGATGAAAGAGAAAGGATTGAGAGAGAAAAGAGAGATGAGAAAGAGGTGAGTAAGGGTTTTAGGGTTTCTTCATTTTTTTTTAGTTTTGAGAATGAAATTATTCAAATATCTTTGACCTTAGAATCATAATATATCAGAATATTTTTGTCTATTATATATTAACTCTCGTTCCTTTTATTTTTTAATTTGTCCTATACTCTAGTCAACCGACCTAACTTTATTAAATTGTTAAAAGCGGATTATGATGTGATCTTTACTCCCATTTTTTTTGGATGGGCTTATTATGGTCTTATGATAGAATAAAGAGTGTTGCTCCCTCCACCACCACCAAATGCTCCCTACACCACCCTATACCTAATTTGTCCTTGCTATAAATGGATGTCAACAT